TTCATTGTCGATCGTCTCTATCCCTCAAAATGAAAAATTTCTGCCAGAATTTTCATGTGTCTCTAAAGATCTAAGCACTTGTGCTAGCTAAACTAACATTTCCAGCGTTGCACATTGCTGCGGAGCAATGCTCCAAATTTCAGTTTTTTAACACGCTTTATTTCCGAATCAATAAATTTCTCCATTAAAACTTTTTTTTGTGCCCGTAAGTTGGAACTAAGCTTACGTGAAGGCTGAATTTAAATTTTCAGGGTCACACATGGGCAGGGAATATCCTCCTAAAATTTCAGTTTCTTGGTTTTGCAGGTTGCTCAGTTGAAAACTTCAATAAAAATACGAACACGCACACACACGCGCACACACACATACACACTTTACAGGGTCCTGACAGTACGCGTTTTGCATCGCTGTTACAACGCCAACACATAAAAAATATTCCACATCTTTCTCCCCCGGTTTGCTGTGTTGTAAAGAATCAATCATTATCCCTGAAATAATTTTTCATACTTACACGGAAGCAGTACGTATGATAAGCCAAATCACATCCGTCACAGATCAAAAGATACGGATCGTTTTCGCTCGTTCGACATATCTGACATCTCGCTCGCATAATTGACTTGTCCCATGCGACTGCCGATTCCAGTGCCTTCAAATATTAGAGACCATTGCGTATCATATTTAATTTTTGTTAATTTAGTTCGCTTTCAGTAGTAACCCACGAAGCATTTTTCATACCTCCAGGCATCCCTTTAACAACCCGGGAGTATAAAGCAAAGCTTGATTTTAAAAAGCCGCTGAGTTTTCACGGACACTTAGCTCGAGTATTACTGAAGTGCGATTGAGTATTGGTGCAGTGGTGGATAGTTTAAATGCTATATAAGCTATCAGTGGACGATTCAAAGGAGAAGGCGATGGGTGTTTCGTTTCCTAGCGCCACAAGTAGCAGCTGTTTTACTGTAGAAAACTCTCTTCGATACCTCCTGTCGCTCCCCCTTAGGAGCCCCACTTTTTTCTCCTTCCTGCCCCCTCCCCCCTCCTTTCTAGGAGGCCGTCCTGGGTCCGCCTATGTAAGCTACACAAACAATGAGACCAGAGAGATACTTCAAGCATCCCTTACTTCAATGCTATCTTTTTTTCCCCTCTCCTTCGCAATAGAAGAAAAAGACACTATTCCGGAATCAGAATAATTAAGAGGCTAAAACTACGTAGTAAAGTTTCAAACTTACTTGCAATGCAAACATTATCTGCCCACCAGTAGCCGCATTTTGAACGTAATCACGCCAACGCTGCAGTCTCTCTGTGTTACCACTTTCGTCAACCGTAATCGAAGCACTTTTATACTGACAGCTTGAATTGGTGGAGCTCTCGCTTTCGGTTTCCACGTGAGTTTCGCTACCATCGATGATGCTATTTGTTTCGATAGTCGCACGAATTGGGTCGATTCGCTGTAGCGCTCGTAAAATTTTCTCGACTGGGATCGTGGAACTGAAGTTGTTATTTTTAAATAACCAGGCCATCTTTTCAATACAAAAACACAAACAGTGGCTTCCGCTAGTTCCACAATCATAACTTTTCCTTTTCCATTAAGCACTGCGATCATATTACTGTAAGTCCTGTAGCGGTGTTGAGTTAAGACGTATATGACTTAATGTACCGAAACGTCTTATCTCACTTTTGCCTTCTCTCCTACACTACCTCTTTCCCCCTAAATTCCTTTGCACCTTCATCACCTGTACTTCCAGGTCCAGTCTTAATGCTGCAATCTGCTTGGCACTACTGGCCAGGAAGTTAAACCTTTAAGCAACCCTCGAAACTTGCTTTAAGCAACCCTCGAAAAACCTTGCCAGCATGTGATTGCTGTCGGCTGTGTACTATCATTTGGGCTACTTCATGAGTGTCCCCTTTCTCCCACAGGATGGAAACGTGGAGGAGTTTTAGTAAATTATTACTCTCCCTGTCTCATCCTCTTCCGAAAAAGTAATACTAAGTCATTTGCTGTTACAGGCATTTATACTGAAATCGAATAAAAACCTAAAAAAAACCAGACGAACCCAGCATAGTAAGGATGCTTCATATAGCGACGTTCGATATTTTTTTCGACCTCCAGCAATCGCAGTTTCAGAGCTTTAAATTCGTGGTATTCAGTGAGGTGCAGCTGCCTATTTTCAGTCTCATCAGTCATATGATGCTCATAGTCATCGTCCATATTCCATGTGTCCTCGCTATCAACGCTATCCGTATCATCTTCGCGTCCATCACCAGCAGCAGGTTTGAAATTCTTAAAAAAACTTTTATACATTGATTCTTAAAAACTTGGAAACTTTTAATTTCTTAAAAATTTTTAAATTTTTACAAAACTTTTAATCTTTTAAATTTGTAATATACAATAAACGTGTAATCCATAAAAATTCGATCCAGGAACATCTCCAGCTTCTTACCCCGAATCGTCTTCATTGTAGCTGTTTGAAATTTACTTATCGCTAAAATTTTAATAGCACGCAAAACAAATGCTTGCTCGAACCTTTGTTCACAGATACCGTGGAATTTGAAAATCCGTTTCTGAGCGGAGTAAGATTTGTGAAAACAGAAGTACAGGGAAGTGTTTTTTCGAAAATCCTTCAGCGGATTTCCGACTTCGCATTTTTTTAGAGCTGAAATTCATACTTGTGAAGTTGATTCATTCCAACACGGAAAGGCACATAAACATTAATCGGAAACACACGGCTTGCTATATTTTTTTTAAAAAAACAGTTAAGAAGTCTAAAAAGCTTACTTGATCGTGGAGATTGGCGGCAACAACTTTCTGCTCAAATAGTCCAATCAGTCTGTTTAGCCGTGCAATCATCGCTCTGTTAATTTCACCCACTGTCAGCGGTCGATCAACTCGATGCAAGGTTACTGTATAAAAGTTACTGTAGTTTTTACAGCGACATGTAAACATGCAGAAAATGAAAGCTCATTCAATAGGGGGCTTCCCTATTTATGAAGCTAATACTTAGGTAAGCTGAGAGCGAATATGATAGGGCTGCGAAGGTAAAAGTGAAACCTTTCAGCTTTGGGAAACAAGCTGAAGAGCCTATGAATTCTGGTATCTGCTGCGCAGCAAATGAAACTATCGTGTGTGGGAAGTGTACGCCGCTTCGCTATGGAGGGCGGTGTATGAACTTACGGTGTGGACTTGCGTTGAACGTAAAGTTATCCTTGACCAGCAGACGATGCAGTACCCGTTCACGTATTCCACGTCCATGAAAGGCCGAACGAACCTGATCCATTAGTTTTCCGTTTGAGATCATCCACCAACCACGCTTACATTTATTATCCAGCTTGCGCAGTCGTACTGCAAAAGAAAGTCAGGAGTTGATGATCGAAGAAGAAC